TGTATGTATGGATCACTTGGGTTGTTACCAACATCTGGTGAAAATTTCATGTCATTAGCCCCTCTACTAATATATTTACTGAGAAAAATGGTGACGTGTTCAATACTTATTTTACCCGCTGAATGAGCGTATAACCTTCGTGGATCCTGTACACAGCGTACAATATAAAAAGGAGCACAGGGGTTTAACTCGCAGTGGTAGTCTGAAACCTCTGTCAGTTTTGCATAATAGATAGAGCAGAAGGCTGCTGCAGTATAATTTATATATAAATTGTATTCAGCTCCCAAGTGTGCAATACTCTGTCCTCTATTAAAATTTAATGCAATTATTCTGCTGCCTTTATCATTTAAACAGTGCCTGTGTTAAAACACCCCTTTCTTCTTCTGTATCTTCATTTTTCTTAACGAATAACAGGGATACACTCAGGAACTGGGTTTGGGATAACTACTGGTTCTCCTTCACAATGATGTGAGTAAAAAAAACATTCATTTTCTTATTAAAAAAACATTCAGGTTTTTTTTTTTGGATCTATTGAACCTTTAAAGAATGTCCTGTATTGTGAGGTATCTAAATCAAAGCTTGCGTTTTGCCTTCCAGTCCACAAAGCTATTTCTTTTTTAAAAACAGACTGGATAGGTTTAATTCAGATTATAGGAGTTTTATTTTCTATTATACGATCCTGACTGTATCTGTTGTTAAACAGGTCAGTGACGCTGGTGCTCATCGTGGCCTTGTCCTGCTGCGGCGACGTTCGTCGTCAAGTACCCCTCAATTTTATAGCCCTGGGCCTGTTTGTGAGTAGAAGTGCCAGCCAGGCGTCAAATTAAAGCGCCGCCGCCCGCACCTGCTGTGTTCCTCTGTTGTTGTTTTTTTTTGTGTGATCGTGTATTTACCTTCTACTCCCCCTCCAGACGCTTGCGGAGGGCCTGATGCTTGGATCGGTGGCAGTGTGAGTGTTCGTTTCCAAGGATGAGTTCCACCTGACGCCGACTCATTTGCACAACAATGGTCCGATTCGATCCATATCTGATAAGCGCGCTCGGTGCCAGCCCAGAAGCCATCAAACCAGATAACGAGTTATTACTGCTGCTTTAGCTAATTAAAACGCGAGGTGGGGGGGTGTCGTGTTTTCTGGGGTTCTGGCTGAGGATAAATGGGAAGCGTCACCAAACAAATCCTTTAAAACCTTTTTTTTTCTGGACCAGAATTTCTGTAAACATGAATCACCACCTTTTTTTCACCCCCCTATCTGTGAAAGATCTCTATTTTTTTCAGCAACATGTTCATCTACCAGAGATCGCACAGTGGTCTATCATTAACACATTCACATTATAATATTGAAATAAACACAACTACAAAAATGGTTTGCAACTAAATATAGAATCTCCATCTTATGGAGGTTGTTTCATTACTTTTATATAAAAAAAAGCAGATTTAGCAGGGTTTATCACACATCTGTTTAACATCTCTGTCTGCAGGTACTTTGACGTTGAAGCGGTTCTGTGGGCGATGGCTGCAACGGCCCTGGTTTCCTTTGGCATGAGCCTGTTTGCGATGCAGTCAAAGGTAAGATCAGTCACACACTCTGAGCTGCTGCCAAAAGGGAAATTTCATAAACCGCAGCACCTTGTGGGCCCGCGGTAAATGTGCGTTGCTGAGATGTGTTTCCTTTCAGAGTCATTGGGAATGTGTTAATGTGAGCTGTTGGCCAGGTTTTCTGATGCGGCACTGGCGGGGGGGTTAAAACTGTGATGGGATTGCTGCTGAGGCAAAAAAAAACTACGATTATTGCTGAAATCAGTGTTTATGTCAGTCAAATTAATTCCTCACGTCCACCAGAGCAACAGAGTTAAACTCCTCTAAGCTGAGGATTTTACCGTAGGTCCTGACTTCAGGAATGGCCGTGAGCCGCTGTTATTAGCAAAGTCACTCCTTTTTTTTTTAAGATTCTCCCTCATTTTACCAGAAACTATAATGACATTAAACAATGTTTAAAACTCAAGGTGTTGAAAAGGTCAGTTCTTACAATTAAATCTTTAAACACTGTTAGGCAATCTTTAAACACATCGTGATTACACGGATAAATTAAAAACCTCTGTGTGTGTATGCGTGGCCTTGTTTTTCCTACATCGTGGGGACAATTTTCCCGAAAAAGCAGCCTTGTGGGGACCGAACATGCATCGTGGGGGCCCGGCATTGGTCCAAATGCAAATTACTGTTGGCGGGTTGGGTTTAGGACCAAGGTGTGAATTGAGTTTAGGTTAGTTTTAAGGTCAGGTAGGTACCTGTGAGGTTAATTTTAGGCTACGTGGTCAGGGTGAGGATATAAAATTTCCAAAAAATGAATGGATGTCAATGCACGCTCCCCACGGGTACATATAAACCATACTGTGTGTGTGTGCGGTTTTTATTACATTTTTCAGGGCCTTTCCTAATATAAACGCCAACCTTGTAAGGGCCAGCCTTTTAGGGCAGTGTTTCCCAACCTTTTTAGACTTGTGTACCCCCCTGAGCCATTTTGTCATACCACTAGTACCCCTTCTGTCAAAGGTAAGGATGATTCTCCAAAACGATAGTGTACAACAGTGGATTATTGAATGAAAATTATTTATTTAACCCCCAGAACAGGAAGTGGGGTGCGAAAGTTTGGGCAGCCTTATTAATTTTCTTTCTTTCTTTTTCTTTCTTTTTTTTTGCCATCATATCATCATATCAAATCATATAAACTTCATTTCACTTCTCAAATAACACCGTGTTTGTCCCCTAAATGATATATTTAACTGATTTTTTTATCCAAACAATCAATGATTTATAAAGGTAAATCAGGAAAATTAACACGGCCCAAATTTTCGCACCCCACTGTATAATTCTCAGGCATTTTATTCTTTTCAACTCAAACTAAACCTAAAGATAAATGTGTTGCCTTTAAAGTGAATAAGTAATAAAATAAATAAACCAGGTGATGGCAGGTGCAGGAAGCAGCAGCATCCAAAATACATCAAATATCCCAGCTGTGCAAATTCCATGATATTCCATGTTTTATACAGGATTCCATTTTGTGTTAATTCTGTGATTCTGTCTGCAGTTTCCACATAGCAGAAATTTTTCCAATTAACCTTGTGTAATATGCACACGTACTGTACCCCTGTACTGTTTTAGGTGACCAAAGCCCAGTCCTAATACAGCGGAACGCCATGAAGGGGTCAGGCTACAGAAAACCACCATTCCACAGCTTGTAAAGCACATTTTTCAAAAGTATACTACCTTGTGAGGACTGCTGCTCCTTTTTGGGCCCCATAAGTTCAAATGCTGTTTTGGGGTTCAGGGGTTAGGTTTTGAACTAAGGTGTGAATTGAATTAAGGTTTGATTCAATTCAAAAATACTTTATTGATCCCAGACGAAAAGTAGGTGTTGTTGTAACTCATTTAACTGAGTTGTGTTTAGGGTCAGGGTTAGACTGTAGAAATTACTGGAATAAAAAGGATGAGGACAGAAATACAAACGTGTGTGTCTGCATATTGGAAAATGTGAGGAGTGTCAGTCAAGTGTTCTGAGCGCAGAGCTGAAATCAGAGCAGTGTGGTCAGATCCGTCAAGTTGCCATGGTGATCACACCTGCTTTCACTTTCCAGGTGAGACCCCCGAAGTCCCTCAGATTTGGTTCTTTATTCTTAGAAGTTTGAAATGTGCTTGTGTTCCTCCGAAGCCTCTTCAAGAAGTTTCAGTGTGTTTCTTCAGACAGTTCTTATGATTAATGTTTAAATTGTGTGCACGGCAGAAAGTTGAAGGAAAAAATTTCAGTGGAAAAGGCTCCATTTCTATTATTTTAATAGTGCATTTTTAGTCTGCATAAATTTTACATTAACTAAAAAAGGAGTTATTTTTCCCAGTTACACAGGATGGGGGAGGGAGGAGGCTGCTGTAACTTAGATGACAGGTTCCCAAACCTTTATTTGCCATGGCCCCCCAAACTGCATTAGCTTCCCGCCGGGAACCCCCCCTTGCAAACCCACAGACAGTGCTACAAAATATTTAAAGAAACATCAACTTTTCAATTTTTTTCTTACTTTTGTTTAGCATGAGAATTTAAATAACATGTTTTAAAAACGGTATTACATTCCTACTGAAAAAACTTTTCAATATATTAACAATTAAAAACAGTACAAAAGAAATCAAACTTCTCTTACTCTCTCCTAAATAACATTTCAATATATAAATATATATAATATATATTTTAAAATAAGTAAAAACACATTTGATTTTATGATGATGATTTAAAACATTTATTAGATTGATATATATATTTTTTCCAGCCCAGGCTGCATCACAGAGAGCGTCGATTGCCAAGTCTTAGTTCGGTCCCTGTGTTGACCCAGGAGGGAGTAGCTGAAGGAAAAACAAAAACAGCAACTGTGGGTCAAACAGACATGCATTTGTTCTTTTAAATGGGCAAAAGGAGTTAGAAATCAGACCTAATTGGGCCTTGGTACTGTCCAAAAAGAAAAGAAAAGAAAACATGTTTGTTGTTTGGAAATTAATAGGCTTTCGTTTGTTTAATATGTGCTGATTTTTTTTTTTTTTTGAGGCGTTGTTTAGTGGAGAAAAAGCCTTGCAGCATAAAGGTTTAATTGGAAGATTTTAGTGTTTAATTATGCGGAGTCAGCATTAAAATTTGCACCTTTTTAAAGCAACAACATAATGATAGCTTCCTTCACTTATTGGTTCTTTTTCAAAACAAAAGTAATTTCACTTACAATAAAAAAAATGTTGCATTCTGTTAATTGGTCTTTAGATTTTGTCACTTTTTTTTTAAAGAAGCTGGATTTTATAAAGGAAAACAAGTAATAAATCCATACTGAGATGATATCTGAGTATGGATCCGTTGCAGAGTGCAGGGTTAGGGCTGTGTTGTAAAGAGAACCACTCTGCTTGTAGTAGCTGAGAGTTCATTTTTTCCCCTCCTTCTTGTTCATCTTGCCATTTTTTTTTCTCCCACCTCTTGCTCCGCAGCTCCCTTTAAGCACGGAGCCTCTTGATCTCTGTCACTGTGATATAAATGTCAAACAGACCCCCCCCCCACCCCCCCCCTCGACTCAGAGCTCCTCAGGTGATCAGTGTTGTAGTGCCATCTTTTTGCTGTCACTCTGAAAAGGGCACTACGGGCCAAAAGGCCACCTCCACACACACACCCCACCCCCACTTCTGCAGCAGAGTGTTGATTAATTACGGGGGACAATTATATCCCGAGAAGTCTGAGAATGTTCTATTGTTGGGGGGAAATCTAATATATCTTTGTCATTTCGTTGTCCGCAGAGCCGCACACCTCAGCTGCAACGCAGATGGCCTTCAGCAGAATGAGAGATGTTCTCTTACGTTTTTTTTTTCTTGTTTCAGAGCTTCATCACAATAAAGTGTCTCCGTCTCTTCTCTCCTCTTTTTTTTCTCTTTCTAATACCAGTGGGACTTCACGCTTGGAGCTGGGTTCATGTGGGCGTTAGCCTGGTCCTTCATTTCCTTCGCCCTGCTGTGTGCAATCATCCGATCGCAGGTAAATCAAGTGGATGTTTGTGTTCACGCGTGTCAGCGGACAGAACAGGCCCGAAATGAATCACACTCAGAGGCAGACAGTAAGTACAGCCTTGTAAGTTTTATCCCCCCGAGTGTGCCGCCGCTGACCTGTGAGCTGAGCTGACTATAAAGAAGGGCGCGTGCATGCTTAAACCTCCCAGGAGCAACACTGATGTCAGACTGATGCATTTCAATTTACAATCCTCTTTACTGTGTGTTGTTAGTGGTTCAGCAGCAGCAGCCAGCAGGTATTTACAGAAACTGGCATTGATCTAACAGAGTTGTCTTTTTTTCCTTCTTTGCACAAGACTAATGAAGTGGAACTGAAAATAAGGAGTTATCTTAAAATATATCGTGTCCACTTCTTATCAGCCCTCAGCCTTACATTTACTACACAGCTAGGAAAACCAGATAAGTGTGCTCCTCTGTTCACGTTGGAAGGTAAAGGATGAGATGTTGTCTGTACACGGTATCAGTCAGCAGCAGATATAATATATTTTGAGGAATCCTCCTATAGATTAAATAATCACACATATTTTTTGTGTGAGTGGTTAAATTTTTCTCTATCCTATAGAACGGGGTCTGCAAAGTTTTTCTGTCTGGGACCTCTGCTCTGATGGAAAGACCCCCTGTCCTTTGTTATCATGAGGAGCTGCAGTGTTTTAAAAATACTGCAAGAATCACAGCACGTATTGTCTCTGACTGAGCAAACATGACCTGTCCTAACACAATTGGCAACCCTGTTTCTGACTGAAAACCCTTATTAAATGCCTTCTTTTACAAATTTGCTACACATTGGATTCATGGTACTGTGTGTTTAACAGAGGTCTAAAGTACTTGAAAAAAATAACAAATGCCTTAACAGAAAACGACTTTGGTAAAAACTAATTTCACTGATGAGAAAAATACTTCAGTAAAAGTCATAAAACTGTTCATAAAAAATGGGAAAGTGAAAGTAAAAGTGCTTTTACACACTCTTTAAGAAATAAACTGTAGAAGTTACTGAACACGTTAACAGTCTTGGTTCCACCGGTGGACAAAAATGGTACGGTTTCTGCCTTTAAACGTTTCCAGATGCTACCGGGGGCTTTTATTTTGTGGACTAGGGTGTCAGACAACGTCTTCTGTTTCTAACCTTCAGTTTGGCACCCTTTAAAACTGTCAAAAGGCTTTTAAGGAATTTCAGGGGCGTCTGTTAAGGGGTTAACCAAACTGGTTCCTCTAAATCAAGTAAAGAAGTATCAATTTTAGGTTTTAAGTGTAAGAAAATAAAAGTAAAATTATCAATTTCAAAAAAGTACATGGTAAAATTACACTTACTCAAAAAAATTACTTAAGTATAAACCTCTGGTGTTTAACGACATAACTGAGTAAGAAACTAAACATTTTGTGACCCAATCATCGAAGACTTCTGCTATTGATTAAATATTCACAATTACAGCGGGTAAAATAAGTATTGAGCACGTCAACATTTTTCTCAGTAAATATATTACTAGAGGGGCTAATGACATGAAATTTTCACCAGATGTTGGTAACAACCCAAGTGATCCATACATACAAAGAAATCAAACCATAAATGTCCAGAAATGAAGTTATTTGTAATAATGTGGAATGGCACAAACTTCTGAAGGTTCCAGTGAGCACTGTTGGGGCCATAATTCAGAAGTGGAAAGAACATTATTTCACCATAAAC